CACCAAGAAAATCAATTGATAAAAATTATACCAATTCGTAGAAAATAATTTTATATTCTAAATCATTATAGGCAAAGGAAAATTTATTCACTAAAAAGAAGTTGCCAATTACAAGGGAGATATATATATATTTAAGCTAGAGCCCATATATCAAGTTAAGCATCAAATATCACAATATTGGCACTAAAGCTAAAGTTCTCATCAAATGTGCAAAACATGAGTCTTTTCTAGATCATTTAGAAATATTGAATACAAAGAAGACATATTCAATATTCATATATATTTTTAAAAAAATCACCAAAGAATATGCCAAAACAAATTTTAAGCCATATAAAAACTAAAAACTCAAGAAAGACATATTTATCATTCAAAACATATTCAAGAAAATATTAGCACAAAAGCACAAATATGTCTACATAAATTATAGGCCATAATCAACAATAACTTAAGCTAAAAATTAGCATCATAAGAAATTCATTTACTTAACTCATGTTGCAACCATGTCAAGTCAAGAAAAATCACATTTATCATATATGCACACACTTGACAAGAACAAAAGATGAACTAACAACATATATCATTAAACATAATTAGTTCATCAATACTTAATCCCAAACCAAAAGACAAGTCAATTAAGCACAAGTTCTAAAACATTTCACAAAATTAATGAATCGATTTAGCACAAGAGCAAGTATATTTGAAAATATTTTAAAAATTAACAGATAAAAAATTTAAGTATTTTCAAATCATAAGCATTAAGGTCAAGTTGAACCAATCATCGCATGAGCATATACCTTGACCAAAAACATAGATGAACAAAGAATCAATTTATCTTATTTAAGCACATAAAGTTCATCAATTCATCAATCAAGAGTTATAACAATTTAGAACATAACAATCAAGTTTTAAAAAATATTTCATAAGATCCAAGCACTATAAACAAATTGAGTAATTTTTAAACATCATGGTCATTCATGCTAAAATCATTCCTAACAAATATATTTATGCAAAATAAATGCATGTTCAATTCAAGCTCACATTTTCTCAAGTAAAATTGGTGTATTCAAGATATATCAATAAAGCATATACCAATATCCATTAAACACTCTATGTCTAACAAGAATAGGCAACCCAATTTTGCATAATCAATCAAGCATCTAAATTTCATCAAGAATAGGTAACCAAATTCAAATCTTCTTCAAATAAAAGTTTAGAGATTATCCATATCCATTGTGTGTCTAGAGTATTCAATCTTCAATCTCATATTGTAGCCCATTGCTCTAGCACACCTACAAGATACAATCTCATTTGATTTTTAGTACCCAAATTACTTTGGGTCCTTAAGAGTTAGTCACCAAGTCTCTTGTTCCTTTTGAAACCTATACTTGCCTAATTCTAAATGAGACTTTTCTTCTAATAAGACAAGTATGTATAGTATGACCATAAAAATTACAAAAATTACATTTAATCATTTTAGTACTTAATGAACTCTTTAAAAGTTTTTATTTTTCATTCATCAATTCATTAAATTTCTTTTTCAAATCAAAATTTTTTTTTCTAAAAATTCATTTTTACTTTAAGAGGTTTTTAAATCTATTTTCAACTTTTCATTTTCTTTTTCTAAAATATTTTTTGCATTCATCAAAAAATCATTTTCAACTTTTAATTTTGAAATCATGTTCTTATGTTTCAAATTCATATTTTCAAACTCAATTACTAAATCATTGTAAGCATCTTGTAACTCATCAAAAGTATAAGAATTTGAATCACAAGAGTTAGAGGTTACCTTTGATTCCTCAATGACCATGAGACATGATAGATGTTGGTTGAGAATTTGTCTTTCTTGTAGCTCATCCAACTTTTTTCATATCTCATTTGAGGTTAAGCATTTTGAGACCAAGTTGAAGTTGTAATTATCTAAAGCTTCATAAAGAAGACACTTGGCCTTTGCATCATCTATTATTTGCCTCATGTAGTTTGCATTATTTGAAGGAGTTTCAAGCCCTTTTTCAATCACATTCCAAGCTCTAAAATCTTGGGCCATAATGAACACCTTCATCCTCTTTCTCTATTCACAAAATTCAAATTTATCCATCATAAAAGCTTTGAGAACTTTCTCACCATCTTGAAATCAAAATTGAGCCATAGGATCTTTTCTCAAGGTAGTTAAACCTACAAAAAGAGACCAAAGCTTTGATACCAATTGTTAGCTCAAAGATTTGAAATAAACCAAGAGGGGGTGAATTGGTTTTAATGAAGTTTTCAAAAATAATATTCAATAAGCATAAATTTTACTACACAATTAAACACAATAATTGAAAGTAATAAGAGATAAAGATAGAGAAAATAATACCACGATTTATAGAGGTTCGGTCTTTCTTTAGACACCTACATCATCATCTCTCTTAGCCTCTCTTACCAAAGAGTTCAATCCACTATAAGTGTTGAAGATTACAACCAAGCTTCTCTAAGCTTTACAAACTCAACACAATATACTCTTAAAGTTTATTCTCCCCCTTAAGCTTACAAACTCATAAAATAAAAAAATGAAGTGTTTTGCAAACTCTAAGAACCTCACAAAGGTTGAGTATTTGTTAAGTTAAAGTACACAAAAGTATAGACAAGAGAATGATGAATGAACAAAAAAAAAATAGTTTGGATACAATAAATACGAAGATATAGACTTTGAAGCTCTAAAAACTCTTAATTATTTGAGAGAACGAAAATATTGCTTCTTAACTCTTACTCTCTTGATTCTTCTATCCTTTTGGTGTGTTGAAGTGCCCTCTTTATAGAGAAATTGATGAATTAGCCATTGAGGAAGCATGGAGTGAAGAAATGCCCGTTAAAAGCACCAAAAAGTAGTCGTTGGAGTTCCCATGCCCATAACCAATCGATCCCTTGCCTGGGTGATCAATCCCCTATATGAGGGGATCGATCCCTTTTCTGGATTTTCAGCTTGATGGGCATTCTGTTTGAGGAAGCAATTGATCCATTCTAGAAGGGATCGATCCTGTCCAAGCTGATGGTTATTTCCCGTTCTATACTCTACTCATTAATTTGATCATAACTTGAGTTATACAAATCCAAATCACAAATCATTTGAAGATTTAGAAACTAGACTTAAATGGCTTTCGATCCATATAAATTTCATTACCTAATTCACTATGTACGAATTATAGTAAATTTTCAAATCTACCCCTTTGTTTAGTTTTCTAGACAACTGTAGTGTGTCTAGTAAAAATTCAAAATCTTTTCTCAAAAAATTTGGATTTTCATTTTGTTTAATCTATTAGAAAGCAGACTCAAAGAGTTTTTCAACCATATAAAATTCAAGTATTAAAACCTTGTGAATTTATACAGAAAAATAAAATAAGTTCAATGTTGGAAAACTTTGTTCTTGTAAAAACAACTTTCCTAACTTAATCTATTTTCCAAAACCAATATTATCAAAATTGTATTAAGTCCAAAATGAATAAGTTCACTTTAAAAACAACAATTGGACTTTCATTTAAGCTCAAATAAATAATCTTTAAAGGTAGATTTGGTTTGAGAAATATGACATCAACAAAGGTTTGTTTAAACTTTGAAAATCATATTATTTATTTAGTATAAAAATATAAAACTTAAGAACATGTACTAAATAAATCTTTTTCAAAATCTTGATCAAGTTTATTTAGCTTTAATGTTTTATCATTTCAAAATAATAATCAATTCAAGACTAACAAATTGGAATAAATTTCATTTATAGTCCTCAATCATTTATTCTAATCATAGTTTGATCCTTAACTTATAAATTATTCTATTTGAATCTCAAACCTCTTAAAATCATTTTATTTTGGTTATTCTAGTAAAGTATAATCCTATAAATTATTTTATTTCAATCTCTAATCTTTTAAAATAATTTTATTTTAGTTATTCTAGTAAAGTATAAGAGTATTTCATCAATGATTTTTTCTCTATAATCTTATAATTAAGTAATTACAACAAGAAATCATAAAAAAAATCACCACTTATAAATATAAATTACACAAAATATACGTATCTATACTATTCATGTTATACCTTAATGATCATATTTTCAACATTTCGCTGCCATATCATCAGGGCTTAAGCATTACAATTCAATTAGCTACATCATTATCTATAAGGTATAAAATGCATGATCAAACCAGTCATATACCATATTTTTTATCTTGTATATTCTTTATTTTTTTTTTATTTTAAAAAAGACAGAGTTCTACAACAAGAGAAGAGGGGGGAGAGACTGAGGTCAAACCCCAACCTTATATCTTCTTAAGATTTACTTGACCTAGTGGCCTAGCAGCTGAACACCTTGCATATTCTTTATTTTTTTTCTCTAGTTTTTACTTTTTTTTCTTCGTACATTTAACTGACTTAAATATTCGAAGTGTATCTCAAAATATTATTTTTAGTACCCTTGACTTTCTTTTTTATAATAGGTTTATTACATTCTTTATTTTAACTTTAACAAACTTTTCAATTATCAAACCAAAAATTATATCAATAATTTTAAATTAAAATTTATTAATTATAATGTAATAATTATTTATCCTTTAATTATAAGGTTAAAATTAACATATTTCACATATGTCAGCTCAAGTGTCATTTTTTAAAAAATTTCATATTCAAATCATACAACAATAAGATAAATATCCTTAATTTTTTAAATTTTGTATAAATAAAATTCAAAATTATCATTGAATAACCATATGAATAAAAAAAAATTCCCAAAGCAAAGTTTGATACATTCTTATTAAAATTATATTTTGAGTTAGAGTTTAGACCAAAAATAACTTCATATTTTAATTTATTTATCAAAAATTTTTTAATATTCACAACCTTTTGTAGGTTTTTTTTTTTTAATTTCTAGAAAAAAAAAACCCACATTTTTTGGCCCACTAACTCGGAATTGGGCCCGATCACTAAATCCACTTTACTGACCGACCCGAGTCCGACACCTTATCCCATCCTCAATCTGACCCCAATTTCTCTTTAGGTTTTTTGCAATTTCAAATTCTCTCTCTCCATTGCCACCGGTCTCTGCCATTTGATAAAATATCCTAGAAAAAATCTATTTTTTCAAATTCGATAAGATAACCCGACCTGGTGACCCGAAATGGCGGCGTTTAGAGCGGATGACGACTACGATTATCTGTTCAAGGTGGTCTTGATCGGAGATTCCGGTGTTGGGAAATCGAATTTGTTGTCAAGATTTACGAAGAATGAGTTTAGCCTTGAATCTAAATCCACAATCGGAGTAGAATTCGCTACCCGAAGTATTCGGGTCGATGATAAGATCGTTAAGGCCCAGATTTGGGACACTGCTGGACAAGAAAGGTGCATTTTTTTAAACTTATTTTATATTTTATATCATCATTTTTATTTCTCATTATTTTTGTTTTGTTTTGTTTTTTTTTTTATTAGTTTTGATGGGTTTTTGGAATTTCGAGATATTTGGGGAAAATGAGGTGTTTTCCAGGTTGGTGCATTGGATTGGTAGAATGGGTATTTGGAATTTTGGATTTTGGGTTGTTTGGTTACTGAGGAAATGTAGGAAAATTGAATTAAAGTAGTTCTCATCTTCTCATTTTTGTTTGCTTTGTTCTGTTTTTCGTTGGGGTTTTTTTGGATTATAGGGTAATTTTTTTATTTTTTGAGAAATTTGAGGAAAAGGTGTTTCTTAGATTAGCGCATTGGTTTGGTGAAATGGGTATTAGGAATTTTATGTTTCTTTATTTTGGATTGTTTGGTTGCTGAGAAAATGTGGGAGTACGGTGCATTCGTTTTTTTTTTCTTTTAAATGCTGAAGCATGTGAACTTGGAATTTGGTTATTTGGTGAAAACTAGTTTCTTTTTCTATTGATGTGTTTATATAAGCGTATGTGAAAGAAAATTTTCTTGGTTAGCATGTTGCAAATTCGACTTGATTTAGAAATTAGATTGTGTTAGATTATATACAAAATCCCACGGTTAGTAATAGATGATCCTCGAATATTACATAGGGATCTAACTGACAAATGTTATAACTTGATCATATATCTATAAGCATTTTTAAGAATATAGGTTATTAAAGAGGATATCATTTGTATATCCAATCTATGGATCGTTGTATTTTTCATCCTTGGTTTTAGAAGGATTTGTCTGTTACTTTCAGCTTTTGACTATTGTGTTAATTCTATGAATTAACTGTGTTCCGGTCTTCAAGTTCTTTATTTTATCCTGAAATTTAGGACATTGTTATGGTGTCTGTTTCAGTTCTGATGAATGTCCTATTATCTGTAAATTTTGATGCTTGGACTTGTATGAAAAGCATCTTTACATGCCTTTGGAGTTCATGTCTTCTAGTCTGCTTTAACTCTGTGTATCATGCATGAGGCAGGAAGAAGGCTTGTGTTGCATACTTGGATGTTTTGTGATATAACTTTCTAGCGGCACTGATAACTTTCTTGGGGAGTTTCTCCTGGAAAAGATACCAGACTGATGTTCCACATTATCATATATCTTATTAACTTAAAAATTTAGTTGTAAACGCTTTAGATATTCTTTATTTTCTATATTGACAGACCAAATGCTTTTTGAAATTAAATAAAAACTGTGCGAAGTGCCTGTAGAGCATGAAGGGGAAATTCTGCAATGTCTCTCCTGTAAATCAAATGTTTTGGGTGCCTTAATTTGCAGTGGGCTGTGCAATATTTTATTAATAATTGCTTGGTCAATCACTTGTAACAGAACGTGTTTATTGCTATGCATTAGTTGAGGGGAAATCATGAAATTGCTGTTCTAGTTGATACTTCTCTTTGATGATAACTGAATAGAAGATTATGATGTTAAGCTTTGCCAGTATAGGAATGGCTTGAGAGGCATTAAAATAAGGCCCTGCTTGAGGTTTTAGTGGTGTAAAAAGGAAATATAAATGATTCTCCACCATCATTTTAGTTATGAATACCTGAATCACACTTTCTCTTATAAATGGATGTATTTTATAAGCTTTTGAGAGTTGATTTCCATTTATATTCTTTTCAAAGATACCGGGCTATTACAAGTGCATACTACCGAGGAGCTGTTGGTGCACTGCTTGTCTATGATGTCACTCGACATGTCACATTTGAGAATGTTGAGAGATGGTTGAAGGAACTACGAGATCACACAGATTCCAATATCGTGATTATGCTTGTTGGTAACAAGGCAGACCTGCGACACTTGCGTGCTGTTTCTACTGAGGATGCTAAGGCCTTTGCTGAGAGAGAAAATACCTTCTTTATGGAGACATCTGCTCTTGAGTCTATGAATGTTGAGAATGCTTTCACTGAAGTGCTAACTCAAATATATCATGTGGTCAGTCGAAAAGCACTTGAAGTAGGGGATGATCCTGCAGCATTGCCTAAGGGACAAACCATCAATGTTGGAAACAAGGATGATGTTTCAGCCATCAAGAAAGTTGGCTGCTGTTCTGCCTAAATGTTAGATGATTTTGGGTATCCAAGCTTCCTCAACTTTTCATCTCTTTAAGCACAAGACCTTCCCCATTGTGTTATTGTCCTTTAGCTTCCTAGAGATATGAGGTTGAAGTCAAAGAAAACACCACGACTCCCAAATTTCCTTACTTCATTTGATTTCAGTTTCTTTTTCACGGTTCTTTTAGGATATTTTCTTTCTCGTGTAATGTTCCATTTTATAGTTTTGATAGTTTTTGTTGTATTTGATTGCTTTAGAATACATAGTCTGTTCAGACAGGTCTAGTTTTGTATTTTTAAATGATTTTCATTGGTTGTGGATGATCAAATTTGAATTAGCTATGATAATAATATATATTAATTCCATCATTGGTGTCTTTTTGGTTTAGTTTCAAGGTAATTTCAATGGGTATTAGTTACATCATTCTTTTGCTATTTGAATGAGTTTTATATTCCATTAAACCTTGAATTGAATAAACTAATGGGTACTTTGATTATTATTTTATGAGTTGAGAATAAATGAATTTTTCAAAAAGGATCATGCAAGTTGTTAGTTTATTCCAACAGGAAAGAACGGAAATCAGAGGCTATTCTAGATTGGTTATTTGATGTAAAATGGTTCATCTTTCCATGATTGCTGAAAACATTATTGGTTCATTGCTGCCTAAACACATCATTCTTGAAGAGAAGTTGTGCTTATGTTTTAGAGGTATATATTGCTTTTTTTTTTTGCTTCCTTTTTCTCTTTCTAGCAGCTTCTCCTTTCTCTCCCTCTCAGGACTCATCTGTTTGCAAGTTTCTAATTTCCTGTCAAATTTTAAGTTAATAAGTTGATATTAGTTATTTGAAGAGAGATATTGAATTTAATTTTGGATGTGTTGCTCCAATCATTGTTCTATTGGTTGATGTTATTGTTTATTTGGGCTTTGGTCTTCTTAATTTTGGAGATTAATGTTGTGTTTGGTTTTTTTATATTTACTGTTTTTTTACTTTTTTTCCTTTTTATGAACCTTTTCTATCACGTGTTTTCATTTCTTTTTTAACAAAAACATCGCAATTAAGAAATAAAAAAAAATATATAAATATTAAGATTTGAATCTCTAACCTATCAATTAATTATATAAATTAATTTAATTAAATTTCAAGTTCTTCGTGTATTTGCACTTTATATAAATATATATATATATATAGATATATATTTGTGGAGGGCGTAGCTATGTGAAAATTTTTGTTTTATATGCTACATATTTAGTATACTATCATTCTATTGAATTTATTTTCTTTACCAAAAATAATTTCTTGCAGTTTTTGTAAGTCAACTTTTTTTTTTTTTAATTTTACGGTAATTTACATTTGAGAAAGATTATATATAGTTTTCATTAAAAAAAAAAAAAAACTAAAACAACATTTGTTTATGTAAAAATAGGACTTTTTGTTTAAAAACTTAAAGCATTACATTTTTTAAGTCGAAACCTAACAGATATTCATCTTTTAAAATTTTTTAAAAATTATGTTTTTTAAAATGACGAACGTAATACTTAATTATTAATTTTTTCTCAAAATAATTATTAACATTTATATTGAATATAAATGTATAATAATTGAATATAAATTATTAACATTAATATAATAATTATTAACATTAATATAATAATTGAATATAATAATTGATATAATAATTTTTTTCTCAAAATAATTATTAACATTTATATTCAATTATTATACATTTATTTCTTTTCAGTGCTTAAAAAGAAAAAAATGTACCTACAGCAACGGGCATGATGCTAATTGTCATATAAATGAAATACTAAAATTTTTTTTTCCTGGTAGAATATATCATTTTAGTGGGGTCTTAATTAATTAAATAAAATTATATGCTTGATGGACAAAGCCCTTGATAGTCACATATGTAGTTTCAGAATTGGACCAATTTGTTTTTCCACATACAAATGATATAATAATCTAGTTATTGGATTTGTGGTATTATCTATTTTTTGGATATATATTAAAATTAAAATTAAATAAGAATTAATTATGTAATAATAAATATTTTCACAAGTTAAATCTATACGAACTCAGGCTTAAAACTAGTCTTCAAGATCCGGCTTATTAATAGATTTAAGCTAGAGTGAAATTTTAAGTTTACAAGAAAAAAAATACTATTTCTTTTTTCTTTGAAAAATATCCATAATGTAAAAAATTAAAAAATAAAAAAAGATATTACAGTTGTCTCATTATACACATGATTGCATACAAACACTTAAAAATAAAAGATTGGCAATTATAAAATAATATTATCCAATTTTTTCATTTTTTTAAATAACTAATAAAATAATTAATTTTATCATTTATATTTTCAAATTTATAATCTATAGACAAATTGTTAATGGTATAATATTTAAATTTTTTTTATATGATTAACTAATTTCACCCCACAAATTATTGTTTCACACAGGACAAAAATTTTTGTTCGGTGGGAAACAAGCTTTGATCCACCACCATTGTGGCTGTAGGTATTAGAATATGGTTCTTGACAAAACATGAAGTCCTTTGCAGCTCTCTCACACCACATTGTGCAAGCAAAAGATAAGCAAATCCAACTCGTCCAAACTTCAAATAGCCATGTTTCCATAGTTTCCTTCGGCCATTTCATCCCCTATCTTCACCTTTCAAACAAACTTATTGAGAAAGGCCACAAAATTTCCTTCTTACTGCCAAAAGGAGCACAACCAAAGTTGGAAGAAGTTTGCCGTTACCCAAATCTTATTCAGTTCTTTCCTCTTGTTGTTTCTCATGTAGAGGGTCTCCCTCCAGGGTCTGAAACTGCATCTGATGTTCCTGTACGGCTACACAATTTGCTTGCCATTGCATTTGATCAGACTCGAGATCAAGTTGAAACCATTTTAAGGGCTATAAATCCTGATATGGTTTTCTATGATTTGGGGCATTGGATTCCAACCTTGGCTCAGCAAATCGGCATCAAGTCCATATACCATGCCATGGTGTCTTCTGCCTCAAACTCGCATCTAACGAAGAAAATAAGAAAGGAAATGACAGTGGAAGAGCTGATAGAAGTTCCTTCTGGTTACCCTTCTTCCGAAGTGAAACTCAAAGCTGAAGAGGCTGCTATATCAACAGTTTTGCCAGAAAAATTTGGAATAGGATTGTCATTGACAGGATATTAACTAGCATGAAACTAAGTGATGTTATAGTCTATAGGACTTACCCCGAAATTGAGGGTCCTTTCTGTGACTATATTGCTCAATATTTTGGCAAGCCTGTTATGCTCACAGGGCCTTGTTTGCCTGAATCAAAGGCCACACAGCTTGAAGAGAAATGGGTTCATTGGCTAAGCAAATTTGAGCCAAGTTCTGTGGTGTTTTGTGCATTTGGAAGCCAGATTACATTGCAGAAGAATGAGTTTCAAGAGTTAGTTCTTGGGTTTGAGTTATCAGGGCAACCTTTTTAGGTAGCTTTAACACCACCGGACGGATGCAAAACGATTGAAGAGGCATTGCCTGAGGGGTTTCAAGAAAAGGTTCAAGGAAGAGGATTGGTTCATGGTGGTTGGGTTCCCCAAGAGTTGTTACTCAGCCATTTATCTGTCGGGTGTTTTGTCGATCACTGTGGTTATGGAACAATGTGGGAATCTTTGCTCAGTGACTGCCAAATTGTGTTGATTCCATGCTTAGGAGATCAAATTATCAACACCAGATTGATGGTATAAGAACTCAAGATTGCGGTTGAAGTCGAGAGAGGGAAAAACAGGCAGATTTCCAAGGAGAATTTGAGCAAAGCCATCAAGTTGGTGATGTACAAGGACAATGAAATGGCTGACCTTTTGAAGAGAAACCATGCCAAGCTGAAGCAAATACTTTCCAACAGAAATCTTCAAGAAGAATTATCAACAATTTCATCCAAGATTTGCAACATCTTCTCAAATAGAGTCTAAATTGCAAAAGAAGATGAATCCAATTTATAATCTAAGTTTAGTGAACCTGTTTTAGTGTTCTTGCCTGGCTAGATTTCTTAATATCTCATATCAGATTCCAATCTGACATAATGCAATCGTTAAGTTCAGAGTTTTTGTCTTTATTAATGCCTAAATGAGAAATGAATTATTCTCCTCCATCATATTATCATTTTTTATGCATCTCTCACACCAAACCCCTCAAATTATCATTTCACAATGAAATCATTGTTGCTTGCTGCATGGAAAAAATAATGTCAAGTGGGTTCTCAAATGATTGATGCTTGACAGAATTACTTGAACAGTAATTAGTAAAAAATTGGATACGATCAAGAGTTAAGAATCCCACAAGATTTTAATGAAATTTTCTCTTTGCCAATTTCACTAAACTATTACAACTATGAATAAATTAATTGAATATAATTTAAATGTAAAACGTCATTTTTTTTTTCATGTTTTTCTCAGAACCAAAATGTATCAACAACCCAATCAATATCAACTTTCCTCTCTCTTTTTGTGAAAGGTAAATTAGAAAAATATTCAAATTGAAAATTCATTGATTTTATGAGTAAGAAAATGAAAATCATTCATTTCAAAAAGAAAAATAATGAAAAACACATAATAGCTGAAAGATAATAATATTACAGCATGAGGCTGCATAACGAGAGTCTATACAATTGTTGATAATTGCAGAGCCAACAAAATAAATGATTGACCGTCTGTTAGATATCTGCAGGTTCATGTACAAAATATTCGACAAAATATCAATTTAGTTAAAGTAAACAGATTAGTCATAAGACATCTATGATAATAATATATATTAATTCCTTCATAGGTGCCTTTTTGGTTTAAGTTTCAAGGTAATTTCAATCGGTATTAGTTATATCATTGTTTTGCTATTTGAATGAGTTATATCTTTCATTAAACCTTGAATTGAATAAACAAATCGCTATTTCTGGTTTGCTTCTTTTATGTGAAATAGTTCATCTTTCCATGATTGCTGAGAACATTATTGGTTCATTGCCGCCTGAACAGATCATTCTTGAAGAGAAGTTGTGCTTTTCTTTTAGACGTATATATTGTTTTTTTCTTCTTTTCTTTCTTTCTAGCAGCTTCTCCTTTCTCTCTTTCTCCCTCTTTCAGGACTCATTTGTTTGTAAGTTTCTAATTTTCTGTCAAATTTTAAGTTAATAAGTTGATATTAGTTATTTGAAGAGAGATCTTGAATTTAATTGTGGATGTGTTGCTCCAATCATTGTTTATGTTTTCTATTGATTGATGTTATTGTTTGTTTGGGCTTTTGGTCTAATTAAGGTTAATGTTGTGTTTGATTTTTTTATTTACTGTTTTTTTATTTTTTTTCTTTTTTATGAATCTTTTCTATCATGTGTTTTTATTTTTTTTTTCAAAGATTACCG